TTTGTGTTTCTATTTTGTTGATACTTTTGATGCAAGTTCAGCTATTCGCTTCCAGACTGATGGAGGTAAGATAACTGAAGGGTAAGACCAACATTTATCCAACATCGAACTGGCTGATAAGATAGAGCCTCTTAGGAACTGCATATGGTGGCCTGTACCTCTTCTCTGCTTGAATCATTCTGCTTAACCCTAATGTAGATCCTACTAGCTGGATTTGGGTCTTTAATATTTATGAAAAGATTGAGTCTTCAGTGTCTACTTGTTTCTTACTATCTATGCTACTAATTAAGGGGCAGATTTGTTTTTATTGTAATTAATTTATGAATCCTGCACTATTTTCTAACAATACTCCCATAATCACACAATTATCAAAAACAGAGAAGATGCTAAAATTGTTATTGCATTTAATGGGTGGGGATTTCCTTGTAGTTCAACTCTCCTTTGACAGCTATGCTCACAGTCGGCATCAGTATCATAAATTTCTCCTCCTATTTTCTATTCCCATATCCTATTTTTCAAAGTTTATATTCATTCCTAGTTGAATTTACCAAGTTTGTAATATGCACATATGATTATGCCCACTTAACTAGTTTCTCTAAGATTTAGATTCAAGTTTGCTCAATGAATGGCCTAAGACCATCTCCAACCCCACTCTATTTTACTCTTCATTCTCTATTTTTGCAGAGTAAAATAGAGAATTGGATCTCCAACCACTCTCTATAAAGCTCTCTATTCTCTATTTATAGAGAGGTGAATAATAGTTCTCTAAATTTGGAGAATTACTATTCACCTCTCTATTTCACTTTTTCATTATTTTAATATTATTTCTACTATTTGTAATTAACATATTATTTTTCATAGAAGGCTATTAATTAAATTTCTAATATTCGTAATTCTTTTTAAATATAATATAACATTTTAAAAAATATATTATTTAGTATATACTACTTCCATCCCGAATTAACAATATTTTAAATATATTTTTTTCAATTTTCGTCACTTTAAGAGATAATTTAATAGTATTATTATTGATTTTCACTATGAAGAATGCACAAAATTTAAATGATAGAATGAAAATTTTAATTTAAAAATACAATACATGACATAATAATTTAAATACAAGATAACAATACAATACATAACATAATAATTTTAAAAATCACAAAAATAATTTAGTAATCCGGTAGGTCATTTTCTGATTTAACAATATTCGAAAAAAAGATAGTGTATGATCGAGAGAATTGTTGTGTTTGTGATTGCCGTTGTGCTTGTTGATTTCTTTTTTCAATTTTTCGTAGTTCTTTAAAATTTAGAATAATACTAAATAAAGATTTTAATTTTTTTTTTTTATATTACATGAAAATTATATAGGGTGATTATTTTGAAAAAAGAAAGAACGGGTTTATATTATGAAATAAGAAAATGAAATAGAAATATAAATAATATATAATATTGAGGAAAGAGAAGAAGATTCTTTTTTAGAGAGTAAAATAGAGAATTGGGTTGGAGTTGTTTGTCTGAAAAAATAGAGAACTCTATATTTGGAGAGTAAAATAGAGTGTAGGGTTGGAGATGCCCTAAGAGATCTTCATGTTAAGTGAGAACAGATGATACTAAGAACAAAGTTTCAAGAAATGCATATAGTTCCATTAATTTTCCAGAAATAGCTTCCTCCTACTCTCTTTTTGCTTCTTTTTGAAGATCTCCAGCATATCCTTAATGCTGAGGAATACAATGTTACCAATTAAAACAAAAAAAATCCAGAAATTTAGAGGTTACAAGCCAGAGTTATGGAATTAAAACCTTTCTGTTTTTTTTCTCTTTATTTCCTTTTCTTCTTCTGAGAACAGCACTATGATTCACTGAATAAACAAACCTTTGTAGTATTTTGTTCTTTTCTGCTATAATATGTATCTGCAGTGAGCTTTCTCTCCCTTTTTTCCTGGAAAATGTCATTTTATACCGTAGCTTTTCCTTTTTTCTTTTTGGGTTAACATTTGTTTTTAATCTCTTTGTGCACATTTTGCTCAGTTTCCTTATTCTTTTGGGGGTAAATTTACAGGCACGGAAGCTATTACTAGATCCAGCTATTCATGAAGAGTTCACTAGGCTGAAGGTGAGTTATCTGGATTGATTTTAATTTCAAGCTGAAATGTCTGGAGAGGAGATTGATACATTTATCTAGTGGTTCCATACTTTAACTTCATTGTTCTTTCAAGTCTCTTTGATGGTTGGCTTGAATTCTTTATTTAACGGGGCAGCGCACTGTTGGTGACATCATTCCAGGTTATCTTTTGAATTGCTCAATGAGCTCAGATGATGCATCCTGTTGCCAATGAATAAAGCATGCTTGGTGCTTAAATTTTTGGATGCTTTTCGCGTGTAGTTTATTTGACCTTTTCATTGTTCCTTCGTGGCCTTGCTGGCTCTGATTGCATTCTTGCTTACATCTTTTCTTATTTTGCATTGCCAGAATTTGGTTGAAGAGAAGGATAAGAAAGTGAAGGAGTTGCATGATAACATTGCTGCTGTCAATTTTACCCCACAAAGCAAAATGGGCAAGATGCTAATGGCTAAATGTAGGACACTGCAGGAGGAAAATGAAGAGATTGGAAACCAGGCTAATGAAGGAAAGGTAGTAAATGATTTTCTTGAGCAGTGAAGTGTGTAAAATATTAAACTCTTTTAGTTCAAAACTGAATTTAGAGATGGAAAGAGTAATCTATTCATAAGTTACTTAGTTGCCTAGCTTATTTCTTTCAGGTTTGTTAAATTATGATGGTTGCTTGAAAGGTGATAAATGTGAGATGTTACAGAAGTTCTGTTTCTTTCTTTACTTGCAGATACATGAATTAACAATGAAACTGGCTTTGCAGAGGTCTCAGAATGCTGAACTCAAAAGTCAATTTGAAGGTTAATGTTCTCCCAAGTTGTTTTACAAATACACCTGTGTTTTCTTTTTGATTGCACTAGGAACTTTTTGTTTGCTGCTAATATTTTTTCTGATTGGCTGGTCAGTTTGGTCATTCTAGATATGATCAGTGTGATTGATAATATTGGCGAGGATATTTAGCTTTGCCATAAATGTTGAAACTTTTGGTAATAAATGCATATCCTCTGGTTCATCTGGACATTACATGAGTAAAGACATGGTCACTCTTAGATATTATTTGCTTTTTGGTAGGGTTTTTCTCTGTACTCGAAGGAATCAGTTGCACCTGATCTGTGTGCGGTTACCATATATCTGCATGCATGCCCTTATTCTTGCAACAGTGAAGTCATGCCAGATATAAGGCATACTTTTACTTAGAATTGAGTTATCATCATCAGTGAAACCCACACCATCCCATACTGTGAAACTGTTAATTCCTACACTGATTCACCCATTAGCCTGCTCTCTCCAGAGTTCATGATTTGTTTGTAGATCAAAGTAGTTTCTCCTTGTACTATGGCGGATTATAGTATCTAACTTTTCACATTTATTTATTTTTTGGGGGAAAAATGGCATAACTAGGAAGTTAGCACCCTCATTGCGTAAGCAATCCATATTTGTGCTAATTTTGTTATAGATCTTTCATTACTTGTGTTCATTTTACCTTTTAGCTCACCGACATTCCTTTATGTTTGACCCAACTTGAATTCTGTTGCTTTGCCGTTGTTATTCAGAACTGCAATGATGAGTAGATTGATTCACTCACTTTCTAACAATTTTTATTCCCACTTGCAGGTCTATGCAAACAGATAGAGGGACTGACGAATGATGTAGAAAGATCAAACGAAATGGTGCTTCACACAGTTCCCATTCTTGTTTAGAGTGAAAGTGGACATTAGGATGACTTTTGACGTTTTAATCGTATTTGTCCTAGGTACTAATCTTGCAAGATAAAGTTGAAGAGAAGGATGAAGTGATCAGTAAGCTGAATGAAGAGTTGAATGAGAAAAACACTGTTGTGGAGAAAACCGAATTAACTCCTGATAAAACTGTCAATGATGAGGAAATGACAACTACAGAAGCACAGGCAGAGAATGAGTAGCGCAAGCTTCTGGAGTTGGTCAGCACATTCGAGGCCTTACCTTCATACATGAAGCTACTCTTTTATCCTTGAATGGTACAACGGTAAAGCAAGCAGAAGATAAGCCCGCCGATCTGGAACCAAGAGCTATCAGTTTGTAAAGCAACAAGCACTGCCATATCTTTCTGACTGACGAGCTGTAGACAGTGTTACCGATGTACTTATAACTGCAATCCGTGTTAGATTCTGTGTTTTTGTTTCCCATTTTCATGGGTATTACATGGTGTATTTAGTTTCCTATCCATGTCTGCAGCACCAATATAATCTATAGCCTCTTTTGATTCGTAGAACATTTTCTCAACTATGCACTTGCAATTTAGCCGTTGTTGTATCGTGCGGAACTGTAATTTATCTTGTAGAGTGTAGCTAGTCTATATGCAGGTAGCACCTTTCCTTTTATCATTCTATTTGTTTTTGACATTTCTCAAAATGTCAAATTGTCTTACTAACAATGTTTTCTTGATATTTTGTTAGTTCCAAACATCATATTAATCAAATTTTGAACTGTGGGTACTGTTTTATTAATGTGATTAAAGCAACTTCATCTAATTCTATTATAATATAGATGTCTCATTTTACTCGAAACAATATTATGACGTATTTTTATTGTACTTAAAACGTACGTTCCAGAGAGTTCAAATGTTCAAGGAATAATTCCCCATTTTTAAAAGGCATGATTTCGTTCAACCCAAAATCAAAACTGGGACAACTAACATGGGGACAGTTGCTTTTCTAGTTGTTTCTCTTACAACTCTTGATATGATATAACAATGATAACTTGATCTTGTATTGCCCTTTAATCAAATGGTGTAATATAAAATAGGTCAGAAGCAGATATGTGACTGACTAGTAAAAAAGGCAATAAAAAGTAAACTAAGCTGACTGAGCAGACGAGTGAAATTAGATTTATTACATTCTATCAGACTACCAAAAAAGGAGGTACAGCGCTTATTTTTTAGAACTGTACATGGACTGCTTTCTTCGCTCATCATTCCAACCCAGCCCAGCAGAACCTTTGTTTCCCGTAGCCTGTAAAGGTTCAATCAACCCCTTGTTGCTGCAGCCAAGTGCTTCCCCCTGTGAAAACACCCAAGCCATCAGGTGACAATACCGTCATTACATTTCCAAGTTTCACTAAAGTAGTCTCATTCACAGAGGTCCTCATGTAATCGCTAGGTGAACTAATCTTTCATTACTACACATCATGAAATTACTCGTTAAAGAGAATCTAAGAATGTCCAAGTATAGATGGGGTGAAAGTTTCCTTTTCGATAAAAGATGGATTCTAATAACTTAAAACTATTACAACGACCTAGTAATGAAAGAAGGAAAAAGTTCCCTTCACACCTGAGTGAAAAGATTGAATGGACACCTAGAGATGGGCCATCAATATGGAAGAAAGAATCAGAAGAACAATACTCAAGAGTTTTACAAGTCTAGGTAGGTCTATACTTTTTCTTGAGATCCAAAGATAAGGCATTTTAAGATTACGTAAAACCTCCTTGGTGACACTAGTAGCTAAAACTATAGTTCTTAAAGTCGTGAACGTTTAAACTGTACCTCTTTCCAGCCCATGTTTTCCAACATTCTTCTGGCATAGCTACCAGCTCCAAATGAATTGCTCAAGGATTCGGAAAGAGCTTCCTCTGGACCAGCAGATGTCTCCGAAGGAACAGAATCATCAGAGTTGGGTGAAATTTTTTGCCCTGGACCAACGCCAAACCCACCATGCAATGCTCTTCTTTCTGCAGCTCTGTCCCTGTACAGGTGGTCTCTGTCCTGGAATGGCATAATCACACAACTTAATAGATAGGTAAGAGATTGTAGATCCTTGTGCATGTTCATCTAAATAGGAGAAAGCATCTTTCCAGTAAAATTAAAAAGTTTTCTTAAGAGATGATTCAATTGTTTTTCTACTTACATGGTAGAATTCCCCCAAACCTGAACAAAAGCTCCTCCATTCAGAAGCCCAATAATGGTGTGTTCCCACTTTGTTTCCTCGGTGACTCCAGCTTATAACCTTATGCTGGAGGTGGAGGGTCCTTACCACTAGGCTATCCTTCCATTCTCTTCAATTGATTATTTTATCACTAAAGAGAATGAAATAATCACAGATCCAAACACAGCTCAGCAACTAGCATTATGGTCTAAGATGGTTCAATCTATGCTGTTTGTTTACTGAACTGGCATGCTTTTTTATCTTCATCTTTTAGTTGTGTTCGCCGTCTAATACTTTAATACAATTTGTTACATTTCCCAGTTAGCAAATTTTCTAGTGCAGCTATCAGAAAAGTGTTCCAACTTTTCAAGCTTTAAGATACTAAATCTGCTAAAGAACTCACCCTAATTGACTGCATATAAAAATTTTATCCCTATGTTGCTCGGACTCTTCAAAAATGCCAACGGGTGAGTGTCGGATTCGCCAAAAGTAGTGTATTTTTGGAGAATCCGAGACAGGTGCGGCATCAAAAGTGGAGAGTCCGCGCAACTAAGTTTATCCCAAATGACCAATAACCCAGATCATCTCCAAGTCTAAAAATTGTATTAGTACTTGAAACATAAAGTGGACGTAGAATACCTTTTCAGGTGCACTGATCTCCGATGGCAGAGATACATCCTCCCCACCAGGAAGTGTTGTGCTTATGGGTTTATATCTTTCAGTGACTGGTGAGCATGTCTGGATTTCTCTGTTGATTGACATTTGCGGAAAGCGCCAATATTTCGTTGGATTGGAAGAATCATAATTTGACAAAGAAGCCAAATATTGTGTGCTAGGATTTCTCAACCTGTACACCTGACCTGTAGTAAGTAAACATTTTGAATGAATGCCAACAAGGATAGAATCAGGATGGCTAATGCAAACTAAAATCTCATACTCAAAAAATGAAAACATCTTCTCATGACAGCCAAATAACAGAATTTGTCTGTCGTTGAGGTTCTACAATCTTCTGATGCAGAGGATTGAACGAAATAAAGAGAGTTATGGATGTTTCAGAAGAAGTTGGAAATCCCTGTCCCTTTAATGTTGCGCCTCATTACATCTCTTTTACTGTCTATACACATACTGTAGCTTACATGACTTCATCTCAAGATATGCATGTCTAATCTGACAGTATTCTGAGTAAGGCTGACCATGAATGAATGTGAATGCATACATGCTGATGGCTGAAACATGAAAAGAAAGTATTGGCCATTTAGTTTTGCAGGGCAGTCACCAGGGAGGCATGAGTTTGCTCACATGTAAAAAATAAAGAAGGAAGTTTCTGGCATATGTAATGAAAAGATCACGGATTGAATAGATAGACATAGAAAAGGGAATTACGTGAATTCAGATAATTATTTTACAGTAAGTCACAACAGTTCACTGAGCATTTTATAAACCTCAACTAAAACGGGACATGTTAACAATAACTGATCTGTGTAAACAAATATGATGCAGAAGTTCCCCTGTAAATGGAAGTTTGACAATGCAAACCTGATGTAACTCGTACCAGATCAAGATGAACTTCACATACTGGGGCAGTTTTAAGAAGATGGCCACTTGAGGGCATTGATGGATGCAGCTTAGCAGTGGGCTTCACCAGTCGTCCTACCAGCTTGGCCACCCTTCTTTTTCGACCTTTTCTGATCTTTTTAACCATTGACCAGTCCCACAAATCAACAGCCTGAATATGTGACAGAGAATCCTCAACTGGTCGTTCAACTTGACCATACTGGGCTCGCCAGTTCTCTTCCTCCAAACAAATGCCTGTTGTGAGGGAACTTCAGTCAATTTTATGCATCCAAAACCATGAAAATGAAGACATTCAACATAAGGTGCATATGTATTTCAGAATAGGAGCCTATTCCATCTTTTTAGTATGAATTACAGAATAGAGGAATTCATGAGGCAGTCAAAGAAAGATTTTTCTTCAATATAATTCCCACTTTATTTGAACTACCAAAAGAAAATAAGAGAGAGACAACAACAACAACATTCCCAGTGTAGTCCCACTAAGTAGGGTCTGGAAGGGTAGAGTGTAGATAGCAACAACAGAAACTACAAAAATCAATAGACAATATGCTAGATGAAGAGAAAAAGAAAAGGAAGCAACTACAGTACAAGGATTTGTCCCATTTTAACTCCTTATAGTTTGGTGAAATGTCCATATGCTTTCTGCCTTTCTGGTGTCATATCAACATTTTCAACACTAACGTCTTAATGCCAAGTGAGAAAAATTGTATAGAATACAAAATCTATGAATGAAAAGTATCATAATCATTACTAACCATCATCCATGACATCTGCAATTGGATCAGCAGAATCTGTCCAGTCGTCTGGTATCCATTCACCTTCCTCAAGTTCATATGTGCTGTCATTCCCTGCACCGTCAAGGTAGAATGACTTACAATGCTGTAACTCTAATCATATTTTGAGAAAAACAGAAACCTTGAACCAACCAGCTGCTGACAAATGTGTGTGATCCGTGTCATTTATTTCAGGAGCCACTGTTATGTCTGAAGTACTATTGGCAGCTTGAGTGGTATAATTCGCCAGATAAAGTTCAATGAGAGTATCTTCGAGCCTGACAGTAGATGTATTACAGCGTTGGGAAAGAAAAATAACTACAAGAACAAAAATACAAGATAACTAAACACAGTGTTCTACCACTCTGAAGGTGGTGGCGGGTTTTCTGGAAGCTTGCAACTGGTATCCTCCAAGTGCTCTGCTTAGAGTGAAGCAGAAAGAGAAGGTAAGCAACTGTCAAGAGAAAATGACTTCTGAATTATCAAAATAACGATTATTACACCCAAATATTTCTCTACTGAAAGGATGAAGCAATTTGAAGGACAGCCATTATACTTGTGGTGAGAACATTACTGGTGGTGACAAAGGACTGATAGCAAGAGGGCTCAATAATGAGATAATAAATAATGGATATCATAAGTGAAGAAATTGCATGAAGATACATCTTACATCCATGATCCAACATTTTTCAGTTTTCACAAGTCAAATAGATCAGCAAACAATGAGCAAAACTGATTCGATAATGACTCACCCAGTTATACTCACAAGAAACTGCTGCAATTCATTCAAATCCAGATGGACATGAAAAGTATTTCACCAACCAGAATATAGGAAACAGAAGAATGGTTCTACGTCTATATATTTTAGATAGGTGTCGGAGCTACCATTAAAGTTATGGGTTCACTAGAACCCAATAGCTTTTGCCAAAGCCATAAACTTAAAATCCTGGATCCACTTTTGTTTAGATTACTTGACCCATCAAGTTACAACAAAATGTTTCAATCACCCAAAGTTAAAAGGATCAAGTCTGGATAGAACTCTTAAGGGGGAAACAAAATATATTTACTGCAGCAACAACTTCATCACAAACACATACTATCTTCTATAACAATAGACAGGCTGGTAAACTTACTCACCTTCAGCGAACTCAGAAGAAAGTGGTTCCACTGCTTGCGCCACATTTTCACCTGACATACTTATGTCTGCATCTACCTCCTCTTTGTTAGAATCCGCACGCGCAATGCTCTCACAACTATTCATTTCACGACAACCATCCTGATGTACAATAATAAACTAGCTTAACATAAATCAAACCAAAAATCAACTAGGCTAACATTTGAATGATATAAATTTGAAAGCAAAAAAAAAAAAACACTCTACCTGAGAAGACTCCATGGGTACATAAGTACCATTTTCAAATTTGTAATAAAGGCCATCATTACAACTATAGTACCAGCCTGCTTGAGGATCGTGATAAAATCCAGTGCTACAAAAGAACGATTGATCTCAAAAGAACTCCAAATTTTATGAAACTCAGAGTTTACATAAATTAAAATAAATTCAAGCCCTAATTTCGCGAAAAGAGGAATGGAATTGGAGATTAATATAGAAAATGTTGAGGAAGTAAATTAAATTATATATATAAAAAAAAATCGCACCTAGCATGATAGTAAAGCTGAGAAGTTTCATCCCAAACGAACTGATTATCGGATTCGTGTAGTTCCAGTTCTTCTTTCTCGGTTCCCGCCATCACTAAGCTTTGCAGATCAATATGGTGAATTCATTAACTTCAGAATCTACAAAAATTATGGAGTTTCAAGCATTAAAAAGTTTGAATTCTAGTTGTAATAACCACACTTTTGGGGGTTCTGCCATAGGAGCAGCAGCAAAAGGGAATACTGTTTCAGGCCCATAAAAGGTCCATGAAATAATATTTGGACTCATATTTCAGAAATGACAAATTACTTAACTACGCTCATTTACTTATCTTAATATCCATTTATCCCTACTTGTTTCAAAAATTTCAAAAATTCCTTATTTACCTATGTATCCCGTGCACAACGTTATGTATCTCGCTATGTGGAATGTGTCAAACGCTATGTATCTCGTGCACAACACTATGTATCCCGCATGTATCCCGTGCACAATGCTATGTATCCCGCTGTGTGGAATGTATCAAACCTAATGTATCACGTGCACAACGCTATGTATCCTGCTATGTGGAATGTATCAAACCTAATGTATCCCGTGCACAACGCTATGTATCTCGCAAACATCATTTTTAAGGAATATTTGGTAAATAGAAAACTAGAAGGGATAGGATGTTATTTAGTACTTATAATATGTGGTTCCTATAATTTATACTTTCAGAAATAGCCCAATTTAGCGAGACAGTAGGGGATATTGTAAGTTATGTGGGCTCCACAGTAATAGGACATTCTTTTTGGAATGAAGAGAGTAGTTTAGCAACAATATCAAACAGACTCCAAGTCAAATAGATACAAATTAAATTGTTGCATATTTTCACTAAATTAGGAGCTATGTTTGGCTATAAGACGAATAAAATCTTGTAAAGTTTGAAGTTGGACTATATATCTAACACATATAATATACTTCCTTTTTTTTATTTGATTTGTTTTCTCTCTGGAGGAACCATGCATGATTGCATGCCTTTTGTCTTGTGTTTACTTATTTTTTACTTCATTTGATGATACAATAATTTCAGAAAATGGAAAGGAACATAGTTGTCCACTAAAAGCAAGTGATGGCCCATTGAAACATCTAGAGAAATCAAATAAAAGGTCTGGAAAGAACGGAGTTTATTTTAATATCTGATATTACATGCCAAAATTTCAGTTCATTAACCAACTGTTCCCAACCATAACTTAATAACTAGTGCTTCCAACAATTTTCAATACACTTTTTCCACCTTTAATTTCTTTTCCAGTATTATCTTTAATTTTTCCACTCCTACACACACTTCTGGAGCAAAAGTGGGTGGGAAAATTGTCTATATATACAGTTTTGTATACAAGCATTTATCACCACTTGCAATAAACTTTCTTCATAGCCTACAAACTCCTTAAATTCCTCTGTTTACTCTGTTTCTAATGGCTCCAAGCTTGAACAAAAATGCCTCAGAAGTGATAGCGGGGCTAATAGATAATAACACAATGCCTTTATCCATCATGCTTATAGGCTCTGAGTTTTTAGCCAATGGCTATCCTATACTTACTCATGTTCCTGCCAACATCATTGCCACTCCATCACAATTCATTTCCAAAGATTTTACCTTCGGCTGCTTCGTCGGATTTGACTCCGACGAGGCCCGAAGCCATCATGTGGTTCCAATTGGCAAGCTCAGGGACATAAAGTTCATGAGCCTATTCAGATTTAAAGTATGGTGGACCACTCATTGGGTTGGCAAAAACGGTAGAGACATCCAGCATGAGACACAAATGTTAATCTTAGACCAATCCGAAAACGGACGTCGTCCTTATGTTCTGATACTTCCGATTCTAGAGGGTTCTTTCAGAGCCTCGTTCCAGCCTGGAAACGACGACTATTTGGACGTCTGTGTGGAGAGTGGATCAAGTAAAGTTTGCGAATCAAGGTTTCGAACTTGCATTTATATACACGTAGGGGATGACCCCTACGAAATGGTGAAGAATGCTATGAAGATTATAAGATTACATTTAGGGACTTTCAAGTTGCTTGAAGAGAAGTCACTTCCAGGTATAGTAGATAAATTTGGTTGGTGTACTTGGGATGCTTTTTACCTTAAGGTAAATCCACAAGGGGTAATGAAAGGGGTTAAGGACCTAGTAGAGGGTGGTTGCCCTCCAGGATTAGTCTTAATTGATGATGGATGGCAATCGATTTGTCACGATGATGATCCGTTAACTGATGATCAAGAAGGAATCAACAGGACTGATGCTGGTGAACAGATGCCGTGTAGGTTAATAAAATTTGAAGAGAATTATAAATTTAGGGACTATGAGAGTCCCAGGGGAAAAGGGAAGGGGATGAGGGCATTTGTAAAGGACCTAAAGGACGAATTTAAGAGCGTTGAGCATGTTTACGTGTGGCACGCGTTGTGTGGGTACTGGGGTGGGATTAGGCCTAATGTACCAAACATGCCGGATTGTAGGGTCATTAGTCCTAAGCTGTCTCAGAGTTTGCAGATGACTATGGAGGATTTGGCTGTGGACAAGATTGTGAACAATGGTGTTGGATTGGTTCCACCGGAAAAGGTTCATGGAATGTATGAAGGATTGCATTCGCATCTTGAATCAGCTGGGATTGATGGAGTCAAGGTGGATGTAATTCATGTAAGTTCTCGAAACTTCATGAATTCGAAAAAACATTGATCTCTCTTTTTTTTTTTTTGGTCTTTTCATTTCTATCTGCTTGACTAATGTTACGAAGTTTATATTCACCTTCTTGTCGAAGCAGTTGCTGGAGATGTTATCAGAAGATTATGGAGGACGAGTGGAACTTGCTAAAGCATACTATAAAGCCTTAACTGATTCAATAAGGAAACATTTTAAAGGGAACGGTGTGATTGCTAGCATGGAACATTGCAATGACTTTATGTACCTTGGCACAGAGTCCATTTCTCTTGGACGCGTAGGTATGTGATGTCTCGAGCATTAATTTGTAACTCTTATAGTAAAATTGTTTGATTTGATCTAAGCTAGATTCTTGATGCTTGCAGGAGATGATTTTTGGTGCACCGATCCAACTGGGGATCCCAATGGGACATTCTGGCTGCAAGGATGTCACATGGTACATTGTGCTTACAACAGTCTGTGGATGGGAAATTTCATCCACCCTGATTGGGACATGTTTCAATCTACTCACCCTTGTGCTGAGTTTCATGCTGCCTCTCGAGCCATCTCAGGAGGACCAGTATATGTTAGCGACTCAGTTGGGAAACACAACTTCCAGTTGCTGAAGACATTGGCGTTGCCTGATGGTTCGATTCTCCGTTGCCAACATTATGCACTACCAACTAAAGATTGCCTGTTTGAAGACCCTTTACATGATGGAAAAACCATGCTCAAGATTTGGAACCTTAATAAAGTAAGCATTAATCTTATTACAAATGCAATTCATGCATTTTGATAATTTGTGGGGTCAAAATTTTATCTTATTGTGTTATTCTGGTTGTAATGCCTATAGTTTACGGGAGTTCTTGGAGCATTTAACTGTCAAGGAGGAGGATGGTGCCCTGTTTCAAGGAAAAATAAAAGCGCGAATGAGTATTCAGTGGCAGTGACATGTTTGGCTAGTCCCAAAGATGTTGAATGGAGCAATGGAACAAATCCAGTAAGTGTGGAAGGAGTGAACATTTTCGCGGTGTACATGTATAGCCAGAAGAAACTAAAGCTCTTAAAATTGTCCGAAAATGTGGAGATTACTCTTCAGCCTTTCGACTATGAGCTCTTAACAGTCACTCCTGTAGCTGTGTTGTCGCAAAAATCAGTGCAGTTTGCCCCAATTGGATTGGTGAACATGCTCAATTCTGGTGGTGCAATTGACTCTCTTGTCTACGCCAACAACGATGAGGAGGAAGAAAGTTCAGTAAGCATTGGAGTGAGAGGGAGTGGTGAAATGAGGGTGTTTGCCTCTGAGAAGCCGTCATCGTGTACGATCGATGGAGTCACGATTGATTTTAGTTACGAAGATCATATGGTCACAGTTCAAGTTCCATGGCCTAATTCTTCAAGATTGTCTGAAATTAAGTATGTTTTCTGAATCAACAAATCAGGAAAATTAAAATTATAGTCCAGTTAATATCGAATACTTTAATACTATGAAGTATGATTTTATTGACTGATGCATCATGATTTTTAAGGAAGCTATATATATTATAACGGACTAATTAATGACTGTATTTAAGAAGGGTTTGATGCGAGCTGTAACAATTAATTTTGTAATCACTTTGAAGATAGTATTGCATAAATCAATGAGTTTACATTGTCTTTGAGTAGTCACATTTATATATTAAAATCTAGGTATAATACATAATAGGTTAGATTGATTGATTTTGGTAAAAGTAAGAGTGAAGACCTCTCAAACTCGAGACCTTAAAAAGACCCAATGATTGGAGTATATGATGAGTTTTTTTATTCAGGTGTATGATTTTAGAAGTTTGACCTTATCAAAAAATATCAATCTAGTAGTATGTAGGTTGTAAGCAATACAACTAGATGTTAGTTAATTCTATGATGTATAAATTTTTCTAGCATTAGATATTTGTATTATCAAAAGACCTGTCAATGTGATGGGAGCCCAATTTTTATGAGTTATTGATTGAATGCTTGTTCAATAGAATGAATTATTAAGCAATTTCATACACATACTAAAAAGATAGAGAGAAATAACGATAAACTTAAACATAGTAGCATTAACATTCCATGAAAATTTAACATAAATTGCAGAAAATAACAATAAACTTTAATATAAATTGGAGAAAATAACAATATTTAATAACTAATCATAAAAGTAGTAGCTAATACTATAATTGCACTAGCTAGCATAAAAATAATATGATAATTAATATTATTCTTGAATCGGAAATGCAATTGTTGATGTTGGTGGTGCTACTGGAGTGATGGAATCGGAGATCGTATTGTTGGATATTAATGGTTGAGGGATTGTTGATGGTGGTGGTGCTATTGGAGTGGTTTAATCAGAAATGGTACTGTTGAGTCTAAGCGATTGAGGCATTGGTGGTGGTGGCGGCGGCGGTGGTGGAATGTCGACGACGGCATGATGAGCGTGATGGTAGACGAGCCATGATGGCAAGTACAAA